GGAAGAGACAGACCATCAACAGATGGGAAATGACAATGATGGGGAGTGGAACAGGGATGGAGGGACATTTAGGCGGGGAAATGATGATTCTTGGGGAGGGATCCCTTCTGTCCCTGTCCTATCACTCAACAACCCTCTTGGAGCTTTCTAGAAGCTGGGAGGAGTAGGTGGGTGACAGACAAGGCCCAGAGGAGGGGGGCTAGGGGGAACATAGGAAGATTCAAATCCAAGACAAAACATTGTAAGAAAAGCAGAGGCGAGAAGGGAACAAACCATTAAACAATGGGGAGCAAAACCAATAACACAACACAACACAAAGCTGTTCAACTGGCCCAGGACATTGCTGTGTGAGAGAAGTGGCCAAAGCTCTGCCTCTGCACTGATTTACAGATGGTACCCAATGCTCTGTGGGGATGGCTGGAAAAGTGGAAAAAGCCCATTTGGCAGCATAGGGGAAAAGCAATCTGGGCTGCTGATGAGTGGAAAGACATTGCCCCTTGTGCAGGGAAGCTACCTGTGAAAGTCCATCATGTAGGTGCCTGTGAAAGTCCATCATGTAGGTGCCCATGTCTGCAAGAGTAGGGCTAATGAGTAAATTTTTTCTTTATTTTTTTTTTCCCCTAGAAAATAAGTCTTTATTACCTTCAGCCATATGTACAGAAATCACGTTACAGCTACAGAAGTCTACAGAGATGGTGTAAGGAATTTACAGAAATTATAGTAATCTGTGATATTTTAGCAATTTCTCCCTATTCCCACTGCAGCAGGGTTTGATTTTCCTATGGCTGTATCATCTGTACAAACAATTTGTAAACAGGGAAATAGCAAATTTAATCAATTAAATTATTCCTGAAGGAATTATTGGCTCAGTTCAAATATTTCCTTGAAACAAACCTAAAAGTTTTCAAGTCTTATGCCTTGTTATGAGAATCAAAGCTGGTTTGTTTAAAAGAGCTTTTTATAACAAAAGAGATAAAAAGGAAAACAAATAATCTGACAGAAGCACAGACTATGCAGATTGTCAGCTAGTTTGGGCTATCAGCTTTTAAAAAATAGAACAATACACAAGTGTACATTATCAGGGGATCCAAATTCTGTTGTCTCTCTCATCCCTCTAGAGAATATACAGTCATAAAATTTTCAGAAGCAGATAAATGAGTTAAAAATGTTCGTTTCCTTGGAAGGAGAGCTCCTTAAGTAGCTTTGGTGCATTTAAACATAGTGATTTCACAGGGTAGCTGATAATTCCCTATGGTGCTGCATGGTGGCTTTATTTGAGATACAAGGGTAAAAACATTTTATATTACAAAGTTTAATGAAAATATGTAAAACAAGCATCTAGAAAATGTAAGCAGTGAGGTGTTTTAATAAATATTACATATTAAATGGTAAATAGACCTTTCATTTTTATTGCTCTTAAGATTGAAAGGTAATAAAGTGAGAATATTTCTATGATCATTTTTTTTCTTCACAAGTGTAGCACTTCTGATTTTGGAGTTATGTATGACTCCTTGATTATGGAATTTTGATTAGTCTATTAACTTGAAAAATAATGAGCTGAGCTATCATAACATGAGGCACAGTCCTCAAAATGAAAAAGCTCTGTTCCCAGCCTTACTTGAGAATATTGGACATCACACCTGCTACCCTGACATACATTTTTCTCGCTTTCTCTCACACTGGATGTGTAGGATTCTCATGTTGGAACTTGTTTGCTCAGTACATGGTGAGATAAAGCCTTTCAGTGGAGGGGAAATGTTAGATTTATTAATCCTGAGGAGTTCCAACATGTCAGATGCTGAGGGTGAATCAAAACCAAGATCAAGCAGCAAAGAGGAGAGACAGTCAATGGCATGAGGACAGCATTTCATTTTGGGGGCTGATTTGAGTCCCACTGCTCCAGAATGGATAGTTTTGGCTTTAGTTTTGGGTTTTTTTCCTGATCTGTATATTATTAATAGCAAATAGTCAACAGTGTTTCTGCATCCTGCCACTATTTGCATTCACTAATGTCTTTATTAAGCCTGGCCTAGTAGGATTAAACAGGGATGGGATGTGTCCCAAATCTGATGTATCAAATATTCCAGGCATTTCACTTGCAGGATTGTCAGGGAATCAGGTTTGGATTTAAGGAAGGACCTTAAAGCCCATCTCATTCCACTCCCTGCCATGCCAGAGACACCTTCCTCTATCCCAGGTTGCTCCAAGCCCTGTCCAACCTGGCCTTGGACACTTCCAGGAATGGGGAATCCACAATTTATCTGGGAAATCAGGTCCATTCTACCCTCACTGGGAAGGATTTCTTCCCAATATCTAATCTGCACCCACCCTCCTTCAGGGCATTAGGGTATAGTGCCTCCATAATGGCTGAATAATTTTGACAATCCTTAAGAAGTTAAAGATGAGACTTTTTTAAGTAGAATAATTGAAGGTAGATTAAAAATTGCTAGTTCTGGGAATGGGTTTCTTTTCAGGGGATGGATTTGATCCAACAGCTGATCTTGGAGGAAGACAAGGTAAGTGTGTGCCAGTTTGGTGCTCCTGAGTGCAAAGAAGCTCACACTGAGACGAAGAAAGATGCTGCAGATTTGACAGAGCAAGGAAGGCAGTTCAGGGGTCTGGCCTGAACTCTTGCCATGGAAAAAAGAGCTTAAAAACACGGAGAATTGGCTGCTGGGGTATGGAGTGGCCCTAAATCCAAGGTGGAGAGCAAAGCTCCTAGCAGGTGACACGGGGTGCTGGCAGGGGAAGTCACCGTGAGCAGACACCAAACGAGCCCCGCACGATCTCTTGCCCAGGACCCTCGTTGGTTTCTCCAGAGGAGGATTTCTGCAGCCTGTGCAAAGCTGCACCTCCTGTCAGGATGAGGCACAGGGCAGACTTTGCTCTGGGGTTTGTACTGATGGAACAGTGTTTAAAAACCACAGGCTGGTTTTATGTGTGAAACACTGAGTCGGACAGAGCTCCAAATGGGATGGATTCTGTAAGTGTGGGGAAAAGGGAATAATGAATAAAGGGAAGCAATGAGCCCCAGCAGACATCCCTCTGCTCACAGGGGCTGAAGCAAGGCTGGCACTCATGTAGCTACTCCTTGACAAAATCAGCTGTGGGGATTTCACAACTGAGGAAATGTCTCCCCATCAAATGTAGTATCACTCTAAACCAGGCCAAATTAAGAATCTTTTAATCTTTTGTTTGCTGTACTCTGTAGCTTTGCAATTCCTCACTAGTTCTGCCTTCAATGCAACTAAGACAAACTTTGGTTTGGACAGCAAAATCCTTAAGAATTAGAGCCTCTGTATGCAGTTTCTGTCCACAAATTGGCATTAATTTGTGAATTCTCTAAGAATGCTTGTCAGCTTTGAATCTTTTTTTTCTGAAAGAGGTTTTTTGGTGTTTCACAGCTGAACATATCTATGCCTCCAGGAACAGGTAGAACTGGTAAAGTGTGTCTGAAAGTGTGACATTTGTAACTACTCTTTTTTTCAAAAGGAAGGAAGGGATTGTTAAAAAAACTGAGATTCTGTTTTGACAAAATCCTAAATAGTTTTATGAAGACAGAGGTGTTTCTGCAATGAAATGACTAATTAAAAAGAAAAAAATTCTTAAAAAAAGTAGCTTTGACAATTAGATTTGTCCCATTCCTTGCTACTTTTCTTCAATGTCAGGGAAAGAGATGGCATTTCATTATGTCTCTCTTTCTACCAGGTGGCTGTGTTTGGTTTTCCTTCTTGCTTTTTTCCCTGCTGTTTTCCCCCAGCTTAGACTCTCAGGTAGTATTTTTTCCATCACAAAAATTGTTTCCTAATAGCTGAAGCTGGCATCCATATAGCTCCACCATAGCATTGTGTCATACAGAACTCCTGGCGTTTATTTTTGTGTGTTTAACTTGTGCATAGCTAGGAATAACTGCCTTTGAAGTTTTTTAAATACCAGGTGTTAACTTGACTGAAGCATCCTTATCCTCTGGAGATTTGTATTTTCATCAGTTTATCTTTTGTGCTTTGGGGGCAAAGCATGAAGACCCTGCAGAGATGTTTACTAGGTAGAAAATGTGAATTTCTGTCTGTATCTAGTAGGATCATATACATTGAAACCTAACTAAATCTTCTTGAAACAGAAAGATGTGTACCTGCCATCCTAAACTCACTGGTTATCCTAAGAAACAAACCTGAGCAGTGTTAATTGAGCAATAAAGTAAAATGTTCTTTGCTTCATTTGTTTCATCTTTCAGTGTGCTGTGGGCACACTGGTGTCATTTGTTTTGAAAGGATTCTGTTGAAGTAAATCATAATTCATTTCTAAAACTGCCCATTCAAACACATTGCTAGAAATTCTGTGCAAACAACTAGATATATTCCTTTCAGTGTTTTCTTTTTAATTTTTTTTACTTATTTGACTTGCCTCAATGCATCATCCCTAATTAAAGAGGCTTAAAGTTTTTAAGGCTGCACACAAAAATATATAGAAACATCATTAGTGAAATACTCAATTTTTATAGGCTGTGGGCTGCATTCCCTCAGCTGATCACAGGAGCATTCACAGATGCAGGATGGAACTGTTACATCTAAATCCCCTGCTAATGGATCTTAAATTTTTCTACAGCACCCATTCAGCATTCCTTGTGAATGCAGGCTTCCCAAAAACACCATAATGTGTTTGATGGCTGCAGAGTTCCTGATGGGAGACAATTCATGCTTTCTGTGCCATACCTACTTTACCACATAAAAATGTTTAATTATATGGAAATATTGCTGTTGGTTCTTCCAGTCTTAATGATGCACATCTGTGGAAGCAGATGATACCTGGGAAAATAAAGCAGCACAAACAAAGGGGCCAGCTTGCTGTAGGAAGGAAAGAGAAACTCTGACACTGTAGAGAAGGTTCAGCACTTGCTGCTTCTGCTGGGAGGAATTTTTGGCTTATCTGAAAGCCCAGGGTTAGAAGAAATAATGTTTTCAAAAGTTTGGGTTTGTTTTTTCCTGTAAGTAGAAATCCTGCTGAGCTTTAGAACAGCTAGCTCACCTTCCAGAAAGAAAACTGAGCAAAATGTGTCATCTATAAAGGCAAAAGAAACCCCAACTGAAGTTTATGAGGGATGTGGCAAGTAAGATATGGTGGAAAAGGAAGCATGTGGATCCAAAGAGGTCTTTTCATGTGTTTTTAGCACAGAGTTTTGATTTTGGTGGATTGTTTTTGGTTTTTTTAATGGGATTGATACAGTTTTTTTATGGGTGGTTTGGAGTTGTTTGGGTTTTTTTTTGTTTGGTAGTTAACATAGGCACCTCTCATCACTGCATCATTAGAAAATGCAGCCATCTCAAGAAATTGTTTGTGGTCACATATTTTATTATTCACTTATTTTAGAGGTTTTAGGTATTTTCTCAACCCACTGAGGATTCACAAGATGAAGCTACAGCAATATTGATGCTGGCAGTGCTCCCTTCCCTGAGCACAGTCACTCCAGCCTAGAGGTGGGTTCTTAATTCTTTGAACATTTATTGCACTCTTTATTTTTTTTACGTTCAAAATGTATGTTTAGTCTATTAAAGGAATTTGAGGACTTGTAAGAGTCAAAATCTGTTCTTATTGAGATATTTAAACATTTATATCTAAGTCTATAGGCAGCACATCCTAATTCCTGCTTCACATTTCCATGTGTTTTCCTTTGCCTTCTGTGGCATCTCACTGAATATCTGCTACTGGGGCAGGTGGGGAGTTTGTGTGGGGAGTTAATTTGAAATCAATATCAATTCAAGATTTTTTGAGAAATTGCTCTTCTCTGTATTTTCTCCTGCTTTTAAGATGTTACTATCTGCATGATCTTCTAACTTATTACAGATCTCAAGAGGAAAATAAAGTTGGAAGAAAGAGAAAATTCTTCAGTCAGTTCTAAGTTTTCCATTTCCCATATTGTTTGGAAGTTTTTCTTTTCATCACCCACCTGACAATTCCTGCTTCTGTTGACTTTTCAGGGCCCTCTCCTTGCTGAGGGTCAGCTAAATAATCCATGAGGATCAGTCAGCAGACAGCTGCTGCTGCTTTTCAACTGTTCATGTTTTTGCCTGGCTGTTATTAGTTTAAAGGCAGCATTCACAGTTTTTGTTTGCTCAACATCACTGTTTTTCATGGAATTGTAGTTCAAAGGAAAAAGTTCTGGATCTTAATGGAAATTTTCCTAACCCCTTTTTCCCTTTTGCAGTTGTGGAAGCTGATGCTTGAGCAATACAAATCCCTCATGTGTGACCAAGGGAAGAATTTTCACCTTCTAGAAACTGCACAAAGAAAAAGCTGTAAAGCAAATGAAAAACAGTGGTCCAATCTGAAGATTCAATTCTGAAGAAAAAGAGTTTTCCTCTGAATGCTAGTTGGTAAAGATGCCTCTGTCCTGAGTTTTCTTCCTGGAAATGCCTGTACAGCTGGGAAAGGTCCCCTGTGGTGTGAAACACATCTGTGCCCTGGATCTGATGCTCTTTGCATTGTGGAAAATTTCTGCAGCTTGGGGCTTTTGTCTAAAATTTGTCACTTTCCAGGGGAGGAAGAAGCAAATATCTTTCTCCTGTAAAGAACCTGTCCTTTTTTTTGAATGAGTTCAGTCCTGCACTGAAAACTTCAGATTTGCTTTAGACTGGCAGTGCTGCAAGGAATAGAAGCCACCCAAAAAAGAGACAGAGAGACTGTTCTGATTTAAGTAAAATACATTGTCTGAAAAGTAATTCTGTTATAAAGTGCTCAATGTGTTTTATTGCAACTTTCATTTGATTATTGTTTAAACCTCAGCATGTAGGTTTATATATATTTTCTGTCCTGGTTTTCACAGAAACAGATGGTGTATGTCTGCCAATCGATCTGTCCTGAAGTGGCTGAGTAAAATACTTTTATTATAGCAAAAATAATTTAGAAAATTCCTGGTCTCACTCCTTTGTGTGCAAAATTGACTTCTGGTGCGAAGCAAGTTTTATCACTGCTCAAACTGGTATTGATCAAACTATCAAAAATTGTGTTATGGTTTCAGCAGCCTGTCTGGAAACACCTACAGGATTAAGGTTTTCTGTTTAAATTCTAAAATCAGTCTTGATCCTATGAAATATAATTTTTAAAAGAATTTAAAATTTTATTACTGTTCTTGGTCTTCTAGAAAAGAAAATTGTAACTTGAAGTAATCCTGTCTCTTTTTTTTTTCCCATTTCCTCATCTGAAAGTAATTAATTTAAATGTTAGTAGTATTTTTTTTATACATCCAGATCAATTCGAATTTTGGGATTAAAGATACTGCTTAAAACTCCAGTTATGAAGGAAATTCTGAAGAGTAAATTAAGGGTATGCTTAACTTAGTAAAATGTTCTATAAAAAATCTAGATACACACAAATGTCAGGATACTGTGTATTTTAGATATGTAATATAACAACTAAAAGTATAGCCATCCCAAAAATGTCATAGCTTCAGAAAATGAAATTATTTTAATCTACCTTCAGGTCACAGAAAGAAAACACTATATTACTATTCCAGGAAATAATGTTAAAGATAATTTTTTTTTCTCCCACTACTCTTAATGACTTTCTATCTGCACATGTAGATAACTCCCCTAGGACCTGAATTTCCATTATCCAAATTAATTCATTATCTAGGAGTACTGAACTCCATTGGTGGGAGTTTGGTTTCTAAATGTGTTCATTGATTTTGAAACCCACACTTTGGCCTTTTGCCTTCTTAAGCCAGGAAGAGGAACCTCTTTCAGACTGAAGTGTCCCAGCAAAAAAATAGCTTTTGCACCTAGCTGCTTTATCTTTCTTCAGCTTTATGTTTTCCAAGGCTTTTCAGTCCATTTAATGCATAAATGTAGTGGTAGAGACACGTTGGCATTAAAAAACCCACTCAGAAACCTGAAACTGGAGCAATTTTGCCCTCAAAAACAGCAGTTTCCCCTTGGTCCTGCATCAGGAGCTGATTTCACAGAGAAATATGAAATAAAGGAAATGAGGAAAAAGTAATGTACAGATTTGTATCCTGCCTGGATCTCCCTCCAGCAGCTGATGTTTTCTACTACAATGGGGATGATAAAATCATTGCATGTTAGAAAGTAAAGCTCTGGCTTTTTGGAGTGAGAAATCTCAGTGCTGACATGTATCTTGTGGTTTTAGTAGAGATTTGGAGAGCTTTTAGGCTTGAATCTCTGAGGTAAGCTCTAGCAAGGCTGATTTCCAACAGGAAAAGTGGGTCATGGAAGAAGGAGATACTAATTACAACTAAAATCTCCAGAGAGCTATTCTCTAAATCTAGATATAACAATGTGAGAAAAGAAATGAGCTGAACATGCCCTGATTTACAATTCATCAGGTTGTAAGGTTGATTTTTATTAAGTTAATGTCATCAGGCAACTTGAAAGAGCAGTGATCTAAACACATTTGGAGCATTGTGGTTAGGATTTATTTTTAATTGCACAGGGATATCAACAATGTTATCTTGAAGCAGCAGGTTCACAGTGCTGCTGTTGGTACAATCTAACCTGCACATCTTCTCTGGTAACCCTGAAGATACTGGGAAATAATGATTTTGTTCACATAAATTTGAAATATTTTTGTCTATTCACCATTAAAGTATATGTTTCTTGTGATATTTATTGGGTGTAAATAGGTCTGTGTTAGTAAAAAGGTACCTGGATGAATGAGCAGCTATTTTGTGGTTTTTTTCAAAGAGTTTCTCTGATTTTCTGCAGTTGCTGCTACTCTGACTTAATTGCAGGGGAGGTGGGATAGAAATTAGCAGACACGTGTCTTAATTGTGGAGCTGAACTGTAAATCTGTACATCTACAAAACTGAGGGAAGCCAGAAGTACAGAGTGGTTTTTAAAGGTCCATTAATGACTGGTGTGTGTGTGAACACTTGTCCTGTTTCACGAGGCCACGTGGCAGCACCAGTTCCACCAAATTTACTTTGAAAAATGAAGTCCCTCTGCAATGGACTTCTGCTGTGCTTTCCTCCAGAAAAGGCTGAGTCACAGTGGTAAACCCTGAGCTCATCAATGCATTAAAAAAAATAAAATAAAATCTTCTTTGGTTTGGTAAAATTTCATGATGCAAGTGCCATAGATAATTACTGTGTAAATATTGTCATAAATGAACCAATGCAATTTCAGCGCTTGATTAATGGAGTGAGTAAGCTACTGGGATGTGTTAATGTTCACAGATGTAGCAGACCTTAAAAGAGGAAATGAAATCTAAATTATCTAGATGAAATTAGAGGGGAAAATTCACAATGGAGGTCTGCCCCAGAATTTCAGTTTAAGGAAAAATAATTGAACTAAAACAAACATGTTTATTGTTAAGGGAGAAATATCTGTGGTTAATGTAGCAGGCACAACTTCCACCCTCAGGTTAAACTTGATGCAAAAGTCGTGAGCAAAGAACCCAGGGTGGATTACTGGGTGTGTCATCAGGGGGATGTTCCACTGAAATTACATCCCAGCAACCTGGAAAACAACTCTTGTCCTCCTCAGCTTCCTTTTCCAGACAGGTCTGTAAACTTGAGATTTAGTAAGGGAAAAGAACAAATGTTTGTTGAGGGGAACAAATGTGTTCTCTGTTTATTTTCCATATTAAACTGAATTTGCCGAAGGTTTAATAGAGCAAATCATCAGCTGGCAGTTCGATATTACATTCATATCAGTCATGCAGAGTGGGGGCCATGCTCAATGACAAAGCTGCTGTTTGCCTGTGTTTGAAAATTGGGCTGAGATAGTTCTACTCTGTGCTTTGCTACCTGAGCTTTGTGCTTTGGTAATCACCTCCTCATTTGAATTGTTATTAAAATGTTTGGTGTAGGGTGTGACTGACAAGTGGAAGAAGAAGGTTTGGCTGGTTCTGCATTTGTTCCCAAGTTCTTAGTTCTGCAGAATGATTTTCCTTTATAGTGTTTCTCTGCAAATTTCCTTTAGCTCTCTATTACTGAGAAGAGAAATACTTTCCCAAGTTAAATTGTCCCCTGTTATCTGTCATAGTGCATGAATTCCTAAAAATTTGATTCAATAGTGAAAATATAATTATGACCCTGATCTCAATTATAACCTCAGATGACATGGTGGAAGTAATACATGAAAATATAAAGACTAATAAATTGCCTATCAGAAAAGGAATTCACATCCAAGTTCTTTGGTGGAATGGTGTTCTAAAGGCAGAGAGGAAAACCATGTATGAAAGCTTGAAAGGATAGTTAAATGCTGGAAATGAAATAAAATGAGAAATCCTGTAATTTTTATTTGCATTTGGTTTCAGATGATAAATTCATCATAAATTACAGCTAGATCACAGTATTTCTGGGAGTCAGGAGCATGCTGAAAGCAGAGGGATGCTGTGAGTGTGTTGTCTGTAGAGATGATGCAGTGAGACTGTTGGTAAATGCTGCAGAGGAAGGTTAAAAAATAGAAGAATTGGAATCTTCAGGTTGACAAATGGCTCCTTCCTGCTGAGGAGGAAACTTGTCAAGGAGCTCCAAAAGTGAGCAGAAGCCTCACATTTCTCACATTCTGAGAAGCAAATCCAAGATGATGCAGCTCTTGTGAAATGTGCAGGTGTTGTCACTGCCTTATTAGATGGAAAACTATTTTATTTCTTTTTTCTGTATCTTGCATTTCTTCTCACTTGGTCCCACTTCACTTTCTTCTGTTCTTTCTTCTTGAGCTGTCCATGTGTTCAATCAAAAAATTATATTAGTGGTCAAATGCCTGAAGGAGAGCCCTGAAAATGGGACCTTTCTGGATAACAGTGAAAAATAATGTTAGAGGATTTTCTGTGAGCTTTTTCTGTGCATTTCACTAGAGAAGAAATGGTTTCACAGTAGAAATTCTTGATCTTGGAATGTTTGGTTTTGATTTCTCTTTCCTTCACTGAATCCTTACACACATTTAGAAACACCAGGATAAAAATTATTATATTTTTATACATATTCAGTACCTGTATGTGAATATTATTTGTTATATTTTTTAAAGTTCCTATGCAGAAAACTTTGCTTCCATGCAGATTCCAACCTTAAATAATCTTGAATTCCCACTAATTTAATAGGGTGTTAAGTTCCTAAAGGTTTTTAAAAGTGTTATCTCAAGTTTAAGGTAGTTTTAGAAATTAATAATTAAATAGTTTGTCAACAAAACTCCTGAAGGAGTTTTTCCCTTTAGCCTTTATTAAAATTTAAGTCTCAGGTGCTTTGGATCTCCTGTTTAATTAGGCTCAGCTTTAGGTCTGTACATTTACAAGCAAATTATATAACAGCAGTTTCTGCTTGTGCCCTGGGGAAGGGAAGTGTCTGTGATTTTGGATTCCATCCTTCTAAACTGGCCTAAAACAGTATGAAACTGTTTTATCTATTTTTTCTATTTTATCTATTTTTTAGATATTCACTACACTTGAAATGTGATATTAGTGGATTATTCCTGCACCTAATTCAAGTAAATTCTTCAGTGCACAGTTCCTGTAGTATTCCTATATAAACTTTTAGCATATTAGAGAATTAATCATCAGTAGCAGGAGGATTTATCAGGAAATAAGTTTTTAGCTGCGAATTCTTCTGTTAACGTTTCAGTCTTCTAAAAGGTTTCCAGGCAAATCCAACAAAAACTAATATGCCATCAAAACCAGATGAAATCATGCTCCATTTAGCCAGTTTCTCTGTTCTTATGTCAGATTACCAGAAAGTGATGATCTTTAGTGTTCATTGACTTGTGCTCCTTTGGAAAGCCCTGAGAATTCTCCAGTCTTGGAGTGCAGCCCCTGGGCAGAGCTGGTACCCACGGCTCAGCTCCTCTCTCGGGGCTGGAGG